CGCGTCGGTGCGGCATACGAGTGGGCTGCCAACTGGCGGCACGCTGCTGCACCGCACGGTGGTGGACGGCTTGACGGATATCATGGTGCTGTTGTTGGAGAACTATGCGGACCCTAACGAGGTGGATGACCGCGAGCAGACGCCGCTGCACCTCGCCGCGCAGTCGGCGCTGCCGCACGCGTGCGACCTGGTGCGGGAGCTGCTCCGCTTCGGCGCCACAGCGGAGGTGCAGAGCGGCTGCACGCTCGAGACGCCGTTGCTCATTGCCTCCCGCCGCGGTGACGCGAATAAGCTGAACCTTCTGCTACACCAGCAGCAGGAGTTCAGCTATGGGCACGCTGCTCACTCCTGCGCGGCGAGGACGCGGGAGCGGGCACGCGCCACCAGTCGAGGTCGCTCGACCTCGCCGTCGGTGCGCCGCACGGGTCGACAGCAACAACAGCAGACACGGCGTGGACGCGCACAGCAGCGCCGACCGAGTACCTCCTCTGTGACATCCGAGGGCAATGATACTTCATTTTATGACGAAAACAGCGGCAGTTTGGACTTCCGCCAGAATCCCCCTTTTCTTGGCACACCGGCCGTTGGAGGTGCGGCGATGATAACGGCGGCGGCAGCAGCGGCGGCAGCGGNGGCGGCAGCGGCGGCGTCAGTGCGTGAGGATGGTCTCTCTTCGATGAGCCTGGAAGGGGGGCTGCCGGTGGAGCGTCTGACGCTGAGTCCGTACCACCTCCTCTTGTCGGATGGCCAGGTGCGTACGGCGCTGCATTACCTATGCGCTCACAGCGACCCGGAGAAGCAGACGTCGTTGCTGCCAGTGATGCGGGAGATCTTGCGGTGCGCACTCGCGCCTACGCTGGTGCTGCAAATAGATGCGGACGGTCGTCTCCCATTGCACGATGCCGCTGCTGCTGGGTACGCGGCGGCGGTGAAGGAGTTGCTGCGGCACGATGATGGGTGCTGTCCCTTCTTCCTTGACGTGCGCGGTTGCACACCACTGCACTATGCGGTGATGGCCGACAGCACCGAATGCATTCAGGAACTCGTGCGGAGTGTGAAGGGGTGGCTACCGTGCACGCTCAAGGGCGGCGCAGCTGCGGTGGATGATGGCCGCGCTGTTCCCATCACCGCACGCATTCTGCAGAACCAACAGCAGCAGAATCATACGCAAGGGCAATCACCATGGCCGCGCCAGCACAATTGCAGTGGCAACCCGCTGCGTGGTGAGGGCCACCGCGAAACGTGCATTGACAGTGTGTGGGCCTACTTGAATGTGCACGATGGCATGGGCCGCACCCCGCTGCTGCTCGCGGCGGAGTTGGGCTGCAGAGGGGCGGGGAAGGTTTTGATGCGGCTGCTGAAACAGCACCAACGCGTGGGGCGTGCCGTCACCGTCAGCACTGCGGCGCCACTTAATGACATTCGGGCTGATGTGCAGTCTCCTCCGTCGGTTGTGCTTACCGAAGCTTCGACGCCCACCGCGGCGATGATATCTGCGCCGTGATGATTGGACGAGGGCACCCGCGTGTGACGGAAGGAGAAGGAGATGAGAGAGGAAGAGGTAGAGGTAAGAAGGGGGGTGGGAGTGAGTGAGTGTGTGAGAGAGAGAGAGAGAGAAGGAGAGAGGAACATGTAGCTATTGCACCTTCAGCTGCAAGGGGTGGATGTACACAACAACCCGCCAATGGGAGGGGTGGGGGGAAGAGAGAACTGAAACAAAGGGCTCTTCTTGCTTCATGCTTTTGCATTATTTCTCTCTCCACTTATATATATATATATATATATATATATATAGATGGAGAGAGAGAGAGAGAGAGAGATAGTGCAAAATTGAAGGACAGAGTTGGACCGAGGTGTCCCTTCACAATGTATTCTCTATTGCAGAGTATGTCTATGTGTAATAAATGCTGTGGTGTGTGTCTTTCCACAACGATGCTTCTTTTTATTGTTGTTTCTCGCCTCGCAGTGACTGAAGCTAGAAGCACTTCCACACATACACTGCCGCATCTACAAGTCAAGCAACAAACAACGTGTAGCTCATCGTTGGTATACCAAAAGGTGTTGATAGCAGCAGTCGCAGCAGCAGTGATCCCCAATGGGTGTTGGACAGAGCCGCGAGCTGCTTGGGAAGGTCAGTGATGACCGTGTTTTTGTGTGCACCAACCGTGAGGAGCTGCTCGCGTTGCTGGCTGAGTTACGGCGCACTTTCGCCGAGGAGGAGGCAACAGAGGGTGGGAAGGACACACCAGCCGATGTGAGCAGCACAGAGAGGGAGAATGGGGAAGACGAGACACTGAGCAGCCTTTCGAGTGACGGAGAGTCTGATATGTTCAACCACTCACGGTCCGTCACACGGACGCAGCTTGTGGCACCCCCGCCGCTGGACGGCCGGACCGACAGCAACGGTGCGAATGCGACGGAGGACGACGACGACGCTGCCGCGGTGCCTTTGGAAGCCGTTCACGTGCCGAACCACTACCTCGGCGACAACGGCCTCCTCACGGGCCACCCGGAAGTGCTGCGTGCTCTCGCCAGCAGCACCGCACTGCGCTCACTTGACGTGGGCTACAATGCACTCACCGTCCGTGCTGTAACGGCACTCCTCGACGGCACAGGTACACCGCCGAACCTCCAGTCACTGAACCTCGCCGGCAATCATATGGGGCCGGACGGCTGTCTGCAGATCGCGGCGTTTCTCGCCGACGATCCACCGCTGCGTGAGTTGTCGTTGTTCCACAATGGGCTCTATGACAGCGACGTGGCGCCGATTCTGCAAGCCCTAGTGACAAACAAACACCTGCGGCTCCTCAACCTCGACTGCAACTATTTGACAGGTGAGTTCCTGCGCATGCTACTAGTGCTGCTGCAACAGAACACTACACTCGCCGTCGTGCTGTTTGACGGCCCGTACGACGCGGCGACGTTGGCGCAGTTGCGCGAGGTGGCACCGCCAGAAACGTTGCCAGACGCCGAACGCAAGGCCCCCCACGCACGGGCACTGCTGCGGCAGAAACTTTTGCGCGCCGATCTCGCTGGTCGCCCGCCGTTCCAAGCGGACCTCGTAGCAGAAGTGGAGGCCATTCTTGCCCCACGACGGGCCGCGTATTTGACGGAGCTGCAGGCAGAGCGAGATGCGGCGGAAGCAGCGGCGACGGAGGCGCTGGCGGCGGAGGCAGAGGCAGCAGCTGCAGAGCGACGCTTTGACGCCGCATGCTCGCCACCGACCACACGGCGAGGTAGTAGTGCTGACGCCGATGAAGAAAACAACGGGGATAGGGAGGAGGAAGAGGAGGGAGACGAACAGGAGCAGCAGCACAAAGAAGGAGAGCAACACCAGGCAGACGGTGCCGATGCAGATGTAGATGTAGATACTAAGGCGGAACAGAGAAACAACGGCGGCACAGCCTCGTCCCACGCCGCGTCCAAGCATGCCGCCCGCGTTGTGCGCTTCAACACTGCCGCGCACAGCAGCTCCACCAACCTGCCGCCGGTGACGAG